TTCGCCTTTCTCCTTCGCCACCCTTATTGTTGGCAAGTGGCGCCGTTTGTCATCACCACCTTTACGGATGGAGACTAACGGATAGCAAGCGGTATGGCCGAGAGTGAAAGTCAAGGCCAATAAGGCATTTTTAAGTATCTGTCTATTATATTAATTATCACTGTTATTTTCACTGTTGTTATTATTGTTGTTGTAGTCGTTGTTGCTGTTGTTGTTGTTGTGGACGATATTGATAGATGTAACGGTGATGATAATGCCCGTTGAAGTAATGACGATGTTAAAGATGATAAAAACGCCACAATACTGCTTGTTATAGCATTAAGCAGTGCATGATGATGTAATTTGACTGTGTTATGTTACACGTATTTTATTGGCTTGTTTCAATTTGCTAAAATCAATTTGTTCTTACATTTTTATCATCATACATTCCAAAATCTAATCTCGACTACGTTGACCAATGGTATTATTTGCTGAAAGGTATTCTTGACTATTGCTGGGAAAAGAAGCAGGAAAGAAAAGGTAAAAAAGTTACATATTTATATATATTTTTTTCGCCGTTTTTTCTTTTCCTTTTTTCTTTTTTTTTGGTTATTTTAATTGTCATCTTATTGTTTTTACTACTACTCATCGTCAGGTCTCTGAAAGGATGTTGTTGAAACGATATATGCGACGTCCATTTGTACGGGTACTACAATATACGCTGGTAGCTGGATGCATATTTATGGTATACGTATTTTTTGTTTCATCCTCACAAAGCAAGTTAGTCAGACGTCTTAACGAATTTGACAATGATCATCCTGGTGTATTCATTGGCAAAGAAGATGTTGAAATGCAAGGTAATTTCTGAATTTTCTTTACTCGGCTTTTTTTTTTTCAATATCCTCTGACCTTGGGTTTTTGATCGTTGATCAGCCATAAAGAATTCTGAGTGTAGATTAGGCAAAGAAAGAAGTTAATTTTGCCTTGCTTTGCTCTCCAATTTTTTTTCGTTTATCGATTATGAAAGTTCATTTTCACAGAAGCGATTGTGGTGAACAAGCTAATAAAGTTTAAAAAGCTAATCATTGGTAACGTCACCGAGTTAGCAGTGCTTTTTCGTTGTCAGATTTGTTCCACGTTTTCGAACTACCGAATAATGTAAACATAAAAAAATTACAAAAATTATCGACTTGGTTTCGCTGTATAGCTGTTATTTTGCGTACGACAACAGCACATTTTTGCACTGTTGCAGTGGAGGATGGAATTGATCCTTTCGCGGAATACAAGAACTTAGCCAAAAAGGACTGGCATGATCATGAGTTGATGAAAAAAGACCAGGAACGGACGGGACCTGGAGAACGTGGTGAACCAGTTGTTCTTCCCAAAGATGCAGAAACTAAAAAACGACAGGCTGGTTTTTTTTTTCTTCGGTAAAAAAATATTCATTTTTATACTAGTTCTCTTGAATACTATCAGGACATGAGAATAAGAAATGTTCGCAATTTTTCATCACTTGTAGGAACAGCTGTATAGAGTTAATGGCTATGATGCTGCTGTTAGCGATGTGATTGCACTGGATCGTGCCCCTAAAGATATTAGACATAAGGAATGTAAGAATGTCAAGTATCTTGAGAAGCTTCCTTCTGTGTCAGTCATATTTCCGTTTCATGACGAGGTTATCTTTTAGTTATTTTAATGGCAACAAGTTTCCTTAGTTCTTCTAAAATTAGCAACTTGCTTGAGCAGCGTTTGCTAGCTTGAAAACTGGTTAGGTATTTAGAGGTAGCTTTGAACGTGAGTAGTGCCAAGGCTTTTTGCTCACCGGTTACTTTTGTTTAATAAATCTGCTTTTCAGCACAATTCGACATTGTTAAGAAGCGTTCATTCTATACTTTTACGGTCACCGAAAGAACTTCTGAAGGAAATCGTACTGGTGGATGATGCTAGCACTAAACCTTTCTTGCAAAATCCGCTTGATGATTACTTAAAAAAATTGAACATCGACCGCATTGTGAAAGTTGTGCGGACAAAGTGATTTTTATATAGTTTCTTTACTGGTAAAGCAAGGTTAGAATGCCTCATTAAAAAAAGGACATGGGGAAATAGGGCCTTGCAGTAACTTTTGACCTTAAGAAGTTTTTTTTTTTGTGTCTTTCTTATTAGGTTTAGTAAGTTCATTTTCTTCTAGATCCTACTTCAACGCCGAAATACGTAATTTCTTTGTAGTATTTTTGGCTTTCTGTGGCTTTTATATGCTACTGATTTTTGAGGAAACGAGAAGGACTAATAAGAGCTAGACAAATAGGCGCTCAGCATGCCACTGCCGATATAATGGTTTTTCTTGATGCTCATTCGGAGGCTAATTACAACTGGCTACCTCCACTGATTGAGCCAATTGCATTAGATTACAAGTAATTTTTTTTGAAATTTGTATTTTCAGGTGAACGTACAAATCAGAAAAGCTGCTGTAATTCTGGTAGAGTCGTAAACTGTTAAATTTCTCTGCTTTTGCTGTTGTGCACAGAATGATTTGAAATGAATTTTAAGATGTGAGGTGATTTTACACGACGTTAAAATCAGAGAAGGGCTGCATTTTTTAGTCACTTTTTCTGAGTTTTCTTGATTTGCAATGTTTTTTTGTTAAGGACTGTCGTTTGTCCGTTTGTTGACGTTATTGACTGCGACACGTACGAGTATAGGCCGCAGGATGAAGGGGCGAGGGGTATATTCTTCATTGTCTCAAAAATGAGTGGTGTTTTGTGGCTAAATTAATTTCTCTACTATGCAAGAATATTTTGGATTTCAGGTTCGTTTGACTGGTCTTTCAACTACAAACGATTGCCCTTGACGAAAGATGATTTGAAAAACCCAGTTCAACCTTTCAAAAGCCCAGTTATGGCTGGAGGTTACTTTGCTATCAGTAGGAAGTGGTTCTGGGAGCTTGGAGGTTACGATGAAGGATTAGACATCTGGGGCGGAGAACAGTACGAATTATCATTCAAGGTTTGGTTTTTGGAAACTGCGTAAAATTTTTTTTGTACTGTGTGGTGAAAAATTATTTATTTTCTTGATCTGCAAGAAAAAGTTTAAGTTAACTTGCATCAGGTGTGGCAGTGTCATGGAAGGATGGTAGATGCTCCTTGCTCTCGAGTGGGCCATATTTATAGGTGCAAGTATGTTCCGTTCCCAAATCCTGGTGTCGGTGACTTTATCTCGCGGAATTACAGAAGGTTTTTTTGGATTTTAGATTTGTTTGATTGACAAAAATTTGTACATTTTTTATGATATATTTTGAAGGATCAAGACGAGATGAATTTGTTGGCTAAGGTCAAAGTATTTTTACAGAGATCTTTCTTCATAGCTTTGCTTCGGTAAAACCATAGAACCATATGTCCTGCTCCATTTTATTTCAAGGAGGATGATTTTTAAAATCTTATCTTTTCTTATCGAATAAACACAGTCATGTCAAGGGGTCAGACAAGCGAATGACGATACAAATGATAAAGAATAGTTTTTGCGCATGAGTTTAATTAATTTACTTTTTTTTCCAATTATTAAAAAATTCAGAGTTGCTGAAGTGTGGATGGATGAATATGCGGAGTATTTGTATAAAAGAAGGCCAGCTTTACGTATTGTAAATCCAGGTGGAGACTTGCGATCTTAATATTTCCAAATTTTTAAATTAAATTTTTTTCTGAACTTTACTTTTTTGCTTCAAGGCGATTTGACCAAACAAAAAGCCGTACGTCAGCGATTGAAGTGCAAATCTTTTGACTGGTTTATGAAAAACATTGCCTTTGATCAAGACCACTATTACCCCGCTGTCGAACCACAAGACTCAGCATCAGGTATCGTCGTTAAAAGTGGGGATGGAGTGTCAAAATTTAAATAGCTTTTATCTTTGGTTCTTAGTTTTTAACTGGCTTTAGGAGAGCTTCGAAATGTGGCTGCAAATAAATGCGTGGATACGCAGTTCAAAGAAACAAATACTCGTTTTTCGCTACGTGTTTGCCTCAGTGATGATTCCTCTGGTGGTGGTGAGCAGGTATGTCAAACACGATGTTTTGAGATATTTTAGACTTTAATTAACAGTTATTCAATGGCAAATATTTGGCAATACTCTTTGTGAAAACTTTCTTTACAACGAAAAAGTTTTGATTGTTTACATGAAACCGTCTTTTTCTTCAAGAATCTTCGTCTTACTTTCTGGTTTGACGTACGTCCAAAAGGACGAAATTATTGCTTTGACGTATCGACTTCTGATCCTCAAGCACCGGTAGTTATGTTTTCTTGGTATGTACTAACTTCTTTGTCGTATTTTTAATTAAGATATTCGCTTCTTTTCCCTTTCCCTAATTTTTTTATATTGTATTTACTTATAACTTCAATTACACTGTTTTAAAGAGAGAAAGAGGAGTTGAGAAACGAGGAAATCTGTTAATATTAGACCATTTATTATGCCAGTTTTTGGTTTAGAATTCCCCTCAAGGATTATAGCAAATTTGATAGGATTATAATTTAGATATTTAGATATTTAGAAATAAGAATTTTACTGTAAGACAAAAATTTGGCTTTTAAGAAAAGTCCGACTTCATTTAGGGTTAAGCAACTTAATTTTGCTGGGGGTTTACAAGCTGATTAATAATAAATTACTTTTTTGCAGTTTTCTGTGCTTATTTCTTTGTTTGAGTTTTAAAAAAGTGGTTTCCCAGTGTTGTGGAATTCAATGGAGAAGGCCTTTATGGTTTCATAATATATTTTCGTTTACGGGTAGGTACGGTTAGGAACTAGGAGTATATTATTTCATCCACAAATTATTAATATTTGCTAATAAATTTTCCAGCCATGGAATGAAAGGCAACCAGCACTTTAAATATCTCTTAGCAAGTAAACAGATGTTTCATCCAGTTAGTCACCAGTGCTTGGACTGTGACCCAGAAAGAGGCGAAATTTTCATGAATCGTTGTGACGAAAGTAAGAAATCTCAAATGTGGACGTGGACCCAGATTAATGCTACACTGATCGAAGAAAGGAACAAACAAGATTAGATTTGGCTTGGGCTAGACGTTAACTTGCAAAAGATCAAGTGTTCTTACATTTGTTATATATTTATTGTTATTCAGAGTCTTTCATGGCCAACATATTTTTGTGATGCTCTGAGTTCCGTAACCATAGGTGTTTGTTACGTATATCCTCCAGTTAAGTGTTTTTTTTTTTACTTTTATAACCCAATATTTTTTTATTTATTTTTTAAGTTGGTCAAGATTTTGCTATTAGATTTTACCTGTATTATGGACTAAACAAACCTTGGCTTTTTTCATCATTAGTCGATTTTTTTGTTGCATCTCTTGCTAAGCGATGTAGCATTTGAGATGATCTATCTTTTGTTCAGGAAGGTGCCGACTGCAATATAAAATTTTTTTATAGTTTTGTTCCATTTTATAGTTTCCATTCACTGATCCGGAGTTTATTCTCAGATTGTTTGCATATTTATCAGAAAACTATTTGCTGCAGTTAGGAGAAGTCTGTCTCTAGTCCGCTGGTTTGTTGTTTACTGAGGTTGTAAACTGACTTTTTTTTCTGCTTTCTGATAATGACTATGTTTTGCAGAGCCAGTTTTTTCTGAAGTTAACTGTTGTTTATGACAGTCAAGATAGTCACAGCTGGGTACTAGTTTTTGTCAGAACATTTGAATTTGTTACGCTGTAACACGTTGCAGTAAGTAAACTTGACAGGGTCTGAAATGTAAGCCAAATGGCAATTGAATAGATACATTGTATAGTTCGTTTGAAATCTATGATGAATTAGGATCTGTGCGAAGTTTATTTTTGTTCTTAGTAAACAGTCTCGGTTATTGCATGTTCTTAACAGGTAGTCTTTCAGTGCTTTTGGAGCGAAGTGCGTACTTCTTTTTACCGCAGCGTTTTTTATAAGTCGGTAGCTTGACATGATTTTAGTTTAAGTCTACCGTTAGCATAAGTGGTTGTCGAGGGATGAGGGTCAGACAAGAGTCGAGGGGGTTGAGGGGCGAAATGGTTATGGAACGTTTCAAATCTAAATAAGAGGCATGAAGTCAATCAAATTTGAGTTCTGCGGTAGTGTACTGATTTACACCTGCAGTTTTGCAATCAACTGATATAGTTTCCAAAGTAATTTTGGCGAAGGGTTGGCGCTGTAAAGATATCGGAAAACTTGATTTTAATAGTCTTAAAGAGCTGATAATCTTTAACTTTAGGTGCCTTCAAAGAGAATATTTCGTTGAGCGTTTATTTACAAGCAAAAAAAGGCACCCAACAATTCATAACATACTATCAACATTAATAATATATACATCTTAAGTTACCAACTAAATCACATTCAAAACGTGCAATTACACTAATAATCGCACATACGTTAACCTTACGTTAAGAGTTTGCTAGAAAGCTAATATCTGGTCAAACACCTGCTGTGTTTTAAAATTTTCTAGATCCTTGCTACGGGTATGTTCGTAAGTCGTTTTATGTTCCTGAAACACCATAATGTATAGAAATGAAGCTTTAATTGAGTGGCACATCGGAAAATACAGTTAAACAAATTCTAAGTCGTGCTTACAGATTTCGTAATGAAGAAGCTTCTTGGCCAAAGCTTCCCTTTGTGAACATATACCAAGTACGCTAAAGTTCTGACTTACTGGGTTTGCAGTCTGAAAGCACTGCTTTTGGGAACCATGTACCATTTGAAAGGCAATAAGCTTGCGATACAGCTCCAGCAGTGTATCCTCGATTACATTCTAAGTAAGCCAAAGAGAGGGATGGGACGGAGTTATTAACCAGCGGACTTGTGTACGTAATTTCTCCATTGTTTACTTTTGGAATCGGCGAGCAGTCTAAAACGGTACTAAGCCGATGAATGCTCAATTAGCACTCAGTGAAATAGTCTTGTTGGTCATATTTGCTGACAAGGTTTTTAAGACATGATCAGAAATGACTACGGGCATTTAAAATTTTGATCACGTCTTTTTGGCTGTGAGGTCTGCGAATAACGACTTGGCCAGAAATCGTTAGATTATGGTAAGGGAAGACACTTATACTTTAGGTTTAGTTCTAAATGTGGAATAAAGGGTTCAAATTAATTACTTCTCTGAGTTAAATAAACAAACCCTTGTTTCTAGCAACGCAGCCTCTGAATTTAGGTGCTGGGAACCAAGCATCTGTCCCGAGACATAGTAACTGTTCGTCTTGCTTTGGTTCGTACCCGTCTTCACATTTCAGTTCTGCTGTTACTCCAATTGGATATAAGTTATTATCATTTAAATTAGCGCTATAGTGGATCTTACCGTGAGCGACATTTTGAAGTATTTGACAACCTTAAAATATAATTACATTATGCGTTTACCAGATTTCTGTGGTAGTGAGGGAGGTTTGTGATACGTTTAAAATCACTTATCTTTTCTTTTTAAAATACTACCGACAAATTTTATTGAATAATGTAGTTAATACTTTTCCATTCAAGAAATCATGGCGAAATTGAAATCACGGAAAATTTTTCTAGTAACTTTTGTTTTTCGCGGACAACCCCACTGTCATTTTGTATAATTATGCTCTTGCACTTTGACTTAAACTGTTACATGGTGGCATTCATACAATTTATTTCTTACCTAAGGTATCCTTATAGCAGTCACTAAAGCTTGACGCTGGGTACCAGGACCCTGTGCTAAGGCAGGTCAACTCTAAGTCTAATGTTGGCTTGTAACCTGCGTAACAATGCAGAGTTGCTGTTGTACCGGCTGCGACATCACTATTTTTATTAACTTCCTCACTGTACTCAATAAATCCATGTTTAATCGCTGGAAGGCGGCTACATCCTGCAACTAATTGTACAATTAAAATGAGTATACCATCTGTTCAACGGAAGTAGCTGTAAGCGTAAATACTATGTCATTAGGTTTATATTTTTAAGCATTCTAAAGTATAATTCTTGGCCTTTGTTCCATGTTACTTCTAATAAAAATTCCTCTCTTCTTTACGTTTTCTAACAAATTTTCACTTTTTTTTGACAATGAAGGGGAAGCAAAATTTTAAAGATAATGTTTAAAATTTACTGTTTAATCAGATCTATAGCAATTGGTTTTAACAAAAAGGGAAAACAGCAGTTAATTAATTTTTAGAAAAGTTATTTTACCCCGTTCTTTCGTTATAGATTGCATCATCGCTGATTCATCGGGATCAATGTATGATGGATCCCAAATATAGCATAGAACTCCTTCTGGAAACGCAGATGAAAAATCTGGTATAACATCGGTATTTACTGTGTAGATGGTATCTAAAAATTGTTACTGATTTTGTAAATCCATTTTAATTTTGAGAAGAGCAGAGTAAAAAGTCTTGACCTGCCTGGAAATTACTAATTAATAGTATCTGTGTTTTTTTGTTTGAAAGCACTTTGAAGTGAGCAATTCATAATTTTCAGTTTGTACACTATTTGCGAATACTGCGGATTTCGCAGGCAATATTTTAGATATTTTTCTGCTAGATTAGTGATGCAGCAGAAAAGTATGTTAAGAATCACCAATGCTGGCATAATTGAAATATTTGCGGACTGGAATCGTAGCACCACATGCGTTCATCTTAGTAGCACAGTAAAATACTTCTCCAGTTGGTTTATACTTCTCGAAAGGACGTTTAACTTCTTTACCTTCGGTAACAAACTTGTGATCAAGTCTTCCTAAAAACTAAAATTTATGAGAAAAATTACAGTCGTTTCTTGATGCATCATTGAGACAGTAGTCAAGTTTTTATTTGTGTACGTATTTACATTAATTACTTGCACAAGTTATAAAAGACTGACATTATAATCAACGGGAAGGAACGATATGTTAAGCTGTACAATCATACCTAGAACTCCAGTTTGATTATCAACGAGCTGTTTCATTTTTTGGAGGCACTTACAACTGGACCGATTTCTGGCGACTAGACCGAGATCATCCTACAAAAAATATAATTTAACAAATTCCTGATAATCTGGGTTATAGGAAAAATTTTTTTTAAAAATAACCAGCTTTTGTTTACCAGTAGTGTGTATCCAGAAAACTCAGATATTGGATCTTCAAGCTCTGTTCGTGTCGGAATTCTCGTGGTGTAGTAGTGGTCACGAAATGCACCTAAAACGTTGATCTGGTAAATTCTGTCAAGTTGGCTAACTTTATCAAGTACCCTACGAAGATATGAGAAGTATGGCAACAGAATGGTTAACAGCTTCGATTGCGCAACTTCAAAAATGAGAGTTTATTAACTTCTATAAAAAACTTTCAAAAAAATTTAACATTTGCTAGCCGCAGTAAATGACCAAAGTGTTTGGCGTTTATAGCTCGCCAAAAGTAGATTATGAAAGCGAAGCTTTTTTGATTAGTAAATGTAAGTTAACGCAATCATAACTATTATTTTGAGAATACTTTTTACGGTGATAAAGATAAGCAGTTTTTTCTTACAAGAAAAGTATAGCTTTTAAGACAGACGATGAAATTATAGTCGAATCGCTTTAAGAAAAGTTTTTGAGATTCAGTTGAGGAAAATTTGGATTTATCAGGATGACTGATAAAAGTAATTTACTGATTTTATGATAATTAGCAAACGATATGAAAATCAGCGAATAGATCAGTCCATGTGAACGTTGATCTACAGGAAACAGTGATTACATTGTTCCACGTTCCTATGCGCAGTTGCAACTACTGAACATTTCAAATTAAGAAAAAAGAGTATGCTCGCAATAGAACAAATTGCGAGAGTTTCATTGTACGGATAACGATGCCTACAAATTAAAATTGATTTTTTATAGAACGAGCCGTGAAGCAACAACCAGAAATTATCGCTCATCTGCACCAGAAGGATAAGGATAGGAACAAAAGAATCAGCTGTTTATCCTAGAACTGTTACGCGTTTGCGAAGTGAAAGGTTTACAAGAAATTATATTTTGTAATATTCAGCTTGAGAACCTGTTCATACAGTAGCAAAAGATTAAGCGTTAAATATAGTCAAAGGGTATAAACCTAGATTTCTCAGCAATACTGGTTTCTTCATTACTCATATCAGGCTAAACGCACGATATAATAATATAGCCCTGATTGTTTCTAATTGCTCGATATAAAAATCTTGTACGACAGTCTTTTGTTCCATCCTAAAGGATTGGTTTGCAGAAATGTATGACAGAACAATCCGTGAGCGCAGTCGGCGTCTACGTATTGCACTCAAAAGCGCTGAATACACTATGAAAATGTCAAGCGAAAAAGGTGTTGGATATCACTACAGGTAGCAAAATAAACTTTTTTTCTAACACTTAGCGTTAGTGCTAATTTAGATTTTTTGTACGTAATGCATTCTTTTAAATAATTGGTGAATTTAGTACTAATATTAAAGATTTTTAACAAATCTTAAGGTTATATTTAGTCACCTATAGCTCACACTTATTTTGTGCTGATCAGACTGCTTACCATTTCTTCCATTGTCGAAAACGTTTAGAGGATCCAGGTCGTCCGATGATATACTACCACACTGGTCATCTTTTTTTATGCTTGGATCTGAATAGAATATAAAATTTCTTATTTGACGGCTGAAAGTCAATTGATAAACACAATTTATTGGTATTATATTGAAGGGATATCTGTGAATATATTTGTCCAAAATTTACTTAGTTTGCAAGTATTAAAAAACACTCGTCTTTCTCGATTAACAGTCGAATGCAAAAATTTTTTATAAAATATAAGTTTGAAAATTTGGTCGGTACAGTTAAAATCTGACGTTATTATAGTCAACTTTTACAAGTACCACTGTAGCAAACGACAACCTGATGCAAACCGTGTGGTATTCCATCCATAACACAGTGGAACAGCTTCTTTAAAATATCCTTTTATGTAATCTGTTTCACCAATTGTGTACAAATAATCTGAAAAATTTTAATTTTACTGCCTTCTAAGCAAATTTTTTGAATAAAAAAGTTCTAAGAAGTTTCCGGAAAAGTACTTTCAAAAAATGCTACGCCAGAAATTTTTTGACCAGTCGACTGAGAAGCATCATGATAATACAGCAGATGGCAAAGAAAAACACTTACGAAAGCCGTCTTTAGTTATACCAACGTGCCGATAAATTGGAACATCTGCTCCACAATCGCCTTTAACCTGGACACAATACATATCTTTTGCTGTATGAATTAAGCGATGAGCGACTGGCGGTATCCATTCTATCAAATTATGCTGATGTAAAATCCATCCTGCAAGTGTTACGTTAGCAGTACTTATTTCAAATAGACTGAAAAACGATGATGAATAACGAAAAAAAAATTTTTGTTCCTAAAAATAGAAACTTATACCTTCCCGAACGTTGTTCTCATTCGTGGCCAGCTGAAAAGTACAAGAGGCAGCACCACAAACGTGATTTCGATTTGTTGCCAAAAAAACAGAATTAGATTTTCGGATGGTGTATCCGGGAATTGGATCAATTGATATACGACCAAGTGTTAAATCAGCAGTTTTATTTTCATAAACATGTGCTATATCTGCAAATACAAAAGCATATTTATTTGCAAAATATCTGGTACAGTATTACTGAAAAATAAGTATACTTTAGCAATTAATTATTCTGGTCATCTAAAGTATACTGAATCCAGATAGTAGTTTTTGTATTTTACAGTACTTTGATTGGTCATAAGTAAATGTAGCAGCACATAAAAGAATTTTTACCAAGAACAGATTGTGATGGTCTATCAGTTACTGAACAAAATAGAGATCCAAAGACAGAATAAATGGATAAGTTGATGTAAAGTATTGTTGCTATACTCCACGTTTTGATAGCTGTCATTTTGTAAATTTGCTATAACAGTTAACAACAGTTATCAAAAAGTTAGCAAAAAACAATGTGTTTAAATAACTCTAATTTATTTCAAAACCTTAGAAAACGTTTTTTCAGAAACTTACAATCAGAATAAATAATTAGCAGTTAGCAAATAAAATCTTTTTCATATTTTTTGAGTTTATAATTTCTTTTTTCAAAACAAAATTTAGAGGAAAGTATTTCTAAGAGAAACTATTTTTGAGCAAAAATTTGGACTGCTCCAAAATAGAAGTCAAAAAAAAGTGTGATAAAAAGTCTTGAAATGTCACTTTGTTTATAAAATTAAAATTTGTTATAATTAAGAAAAAATTGATATGACAAGTTGATAAGAAAAAATTGCAGATACGGTAACAAACAGTTCACTATTGAATACCATTAAAATATCATTCAAAATTTTTTTTTTTAAAAAAAGATGTTGAAAAAAATGCAATACAACTGATTAGAAAAAAAGCTTCGAAAAGAAGCTTATAACTGCAAATATAATGTTTATAATTGACTAAATAAATCTTCAAAAATTGATCATACAACTTTTCATTGTTCAGAATAGCGTCAAGGTTTCAGTAGATCACAGTTGTATGTCCAAAATGCAGTACCAAATATA